GATGAATGCTTTCTACCTCTGGACCGCATATTGTACAAATGTGGTCCAGCCTGTATGAAACAATTGTTCTAAAAATAAAATCTAAAATATACTAAAAAGGTTCAAACGCCTCAGGATTCAATAGAGGCCGTCCAAATTTTGAATGGCTAGATCTAAGTGTCACAAAACTCAAAATTAAAACTTTTTTCTTTTGAAAATAATCATCTTGTAATCCCTGTGTGATTCCCAAAATTTTAGAAAAAAATCTTCTTAATCAGTTTTTTAGTGAGGAACTAGGTGCACAGTGTACTACTACTGCAGGAGCATAATATATGTGCTTATCGTTTTTAGTTATAGTTTCCAAGAAATGCTGCTTATCTAACATGATAGATGGGCTGTAAAATCCCACACCCAACAACATGATCGGAATCCATGGTGAGCTCACGTGAGATTAAAAACATAAATAACTAATCAGGTTACCGAGAGAGAACAAAAACAAAACCAGTTAGAAAGGAAGGGGAGGGGTCGAAGGTGGCAGTTGGGATGAGCTAAAACAAAAAAGACGAGAGGAGTTAGGAAGTCGTAATTTTAAAATAATTACATCCAACAACGTGTATGTATAGCTTGGTAGCAAATACATCTAGAACCCTCATTCTTCTCACTATAACTATCTACTAACCTATCGATCAACTGCATCAAATCACCTCTCTCTCCCTCTCTCTCACTCTGATTAATAGTTGCACCTAAATAAAATAAGCATGGGTTACAGTAAATGCAACTCCAAAGAATTCGCTTTGCTTTTTTATGTAGCAATGGCATGTGCAGCTGCAGCAGTTACCAATTCTTCTTCAGCTAGAGAGTTTAATGTCATGCAATAGGGTGCCATTGCTGATGGCGCCACGGACAACAGCAAGGAAGGTAAACGTTAAAGAGCCTTACAACACTTAATTTATAGTGCACAAGAAATTATGCACTGAGAATTTTGAATGTTTCTCATGGTAATTGAAATTATGCACTCATTGAAATTCAGTTCCATAACAAATGGGGAGATAAGAGGCATAAGTTCAGTGGATAGCAAGCTCTTTCAAATCCTATTGTTTCGCTGCAAAAATATGAAAGTCCAGTCCATCAAAATCTCAGCACCAGGTGACAGCCCCAATACTGATGGAATCCATATCGGCTCTTCATCTAATATCTCGATCTCGCAATCTCGCATTGGAACTGGTGACGATTGCATCTCCATTGGTCCTGGCACCGCCCAAGTAACCGTGAGAGACGTGTTTTCTGGACCAGGACATGGCATTAGATGAACTATAGCATTTTGTTCTTAGTATTTTTCTTCCAAGGATTACATGGGTTTACGAAATCATTTGAGCCTTATAAAATGAAAACTAAATTGATCCTCATGGGTGCATCTTTTTATAATTCAGTGTTGGAAGCTTGGGCAAGTTCCCCAAGGAGGAGGATGTGCAAGGGATACATGTGGAGAATTGCACCATCTCAGATACCACCACTGGTTTGAGGATCAAGACTTGGGCAGACTCAGCCAGCAGCTCTGCCTCCAATTTCACATATGAAGATATCGTGATGAACAATGTGGCCAACCCCATCATCATAGATCAACAATATTGCCCATACTCTTCTTGCCCACAGAAGGTACATTAAAGAGTACCATTTCTTCCTTCAAGACACAAGCACACTAGCATTCAGAGAGAGAGTGCTCGTGTCATCCATGGAGTTCAATACATTGAGATACACTGAAGAACTGATTTTCAACACAACCTTCTCTTTGTGTTTTTGCAGGATCCTTCTCCAGTCAAGATCAGTGATATAAGTTTCAAGAACATTAGAGGAACCACTTCTTCAAAAGTTGCAGTGAATCTCTTGTGCAGCGAGGCTTTCCTAAGCCAAAATGTCAAGCTCGATGATATAAAATTGGAGTACAACGAACAGGGGAGACCTTCGACCGCCTCGTGTACCAATGTGAAGGGGGTCTCTGCTGGAGTACAAGCGCCACCAACTTGCCTGTAGAATCCATCTTCTCCCTCTTTCTGAGTTCTCATCATTGGTGTTTATGATGCTCCATTGTCTTCATCAGCTTGATGGCTTCCCTTACGTGGGGCAGTGGCATGTACACATGATGACATGTATGATCAAAATTGATTGTTTTTATGCAGTGAAAAATTGTTTCTAGCTTCCTGCTCAGATTCTTGAAAATGAAATAATATACAATGTGAATTTACAAATTGATTGTTTTTATGCACTGAGTTTCTTTGTTTTCACCAAATTCAACAGCTGCTTTTGAAATGCTCTTTTACTCATCCAAAATTCTCTACCAAATTGGATGGGGCAACACTCAAACACAGTTACCTAATAACAGAGGAAGCAGCAAGAGATGGATAATGATAGACCAGCAGGGCCGCAAGATCTTAGCAAATGCTTAGTAGGCCAAGGGTTAAAAATCAATGAATTTCATTTCATTAGGAAATTTTTGGATACAGTGACTATTCCGACTTTATAAAACCACAAGGAAATGGAGCATAACCAATATCATATTGTTCGCTAAATGAACGAATTAGAATGCCATATAAAACCATAAAAATTCTCTAATCCTAGAAGCAACAAGATCATTTTTAGTATTGATATACATAGTTGCACTCTTAAATCAAAAGTAGGCCATGGTACAGCTTACCAACTTCAACTATTCACTTAGGGCCCGTTTCGAGAAGAGGAAATTAGGAATCCAGGATATTTGAAATTCAAGGAAATCTATGGACTTTCAATATTAGGGATTTTTGTCATGGATTCCTCAAATCTCTTGTTTGGATGAACTATACAAAATTCATGGAATCTTTGCAATCATTTCCATGTCTATTGTTTGCTAACAAAACTTGATACAATTTCTCTCTCTAAAATATTTTTATACTTTCTTTCTCTAAAACTCAAAATTTGAGATAGTGTATCTATAAAATATTTGAGATAGTTTCACTCTCTAAAATTTGATATGGTTTGTTTCTCTAAAATTTAATATACTTTTTATTCAAAATTTAAAATTTGAAATTATCTATCTAAAAATTTTGAGACAATTTATCTCTCTAAAGTTTTTAGGTGCTTTAAACTCTCACTAAAATTTAATATAGTTTCTCTTTCTAAAATTTTAAGATACTCTCTGTAAAACTTAAAACTTAAGATAGACTCCCTCTTCAATAATTTTGAGATAGTTTCACTCACTAAACATTTTCAAGTAGTTTCCCTCTCTAAAATATGATATAGTTTTTCTCTTAAATTTTAAGATACTTTCTCTTTCTAAAAGCTAAAATTTCAGATAATTTCTCTCTTAAAATTTTGCTATAGTTCCTTTTTCTAAAAAGGTTTATGTACTTTCTCTCTCTAAAATTTAATATAGTTACTCTATTAAATTTTAAGATGTTTTTGCTCTCTAAAACTTCAATCCTGAGATAGTTTCTCTCTCTAAAATTTTGAAATAGTTTCTCTCTTTAAAATTTGATATAATGCCTCTCTAAACTTTGATATATTTTCTTTCTCTAAAGTTTAAAATTTGAGATATTTTCTCTCTCTAAAACTTTAATTTTGATATAGTTTCTCTCTATATAATTTTTTGAGATTGTTTCTCACTCTAAATATTTCATGTATTTTCTCCATTTAAAATTTGATATAGTTTATCTTTCTGAAAATTTAATATACATTCTCTCTCTTAAACATAAATTTTGCGACAGTTTCTCTCTCAAATTTTGATATTGTTTCTATGTCTAAAAAATTTTAGGTTGTTTCTCTCTCTAAAATTTTATATAATTTCTATTTCTAAAATTTTAATACATTTTTTGTTTCTAAAATTCAAAATTCAAGATAGTTTCTCTTTAATACTCAAAATTCAAGATCGTTTCTCTCTCTAAAACATTTTTGACCATTTCTCTTTCTAAAATTTATAATAGTTTCTCTCTAAAAGGTTAATAATATTTTCTCTCTCTACAATTTTAAGAATACTTTCTCTCTTTAAAACTTAAGATTTGATATAGTTTCTCTCTCTAAATTTTTTTGAAATAGTTTCTATTTCTAAAACTTTTTAGGTACTCTCTCTAAAATTTGATATAGTTTCTTTCTCTAAAAATTAAAAAATGAGATTGTTTCTCTCTCTAAAAATTTTGAAATAATTTCTCTCTCTAAAAAATTGATATTATTTCCCTCTCTAAAAATTTGCACATACTTTCTCTCTCTAAAATGTGATAGTTTCTCCCTAAAACGTAGAATTTGAGATAGTTTATCTCTCTAAAATTTTAAGATAGTTTATCTCTCTAAAAAAATTTGATACTTTCTCTCTCAAAATTTTTAACATATTTTCTCTTTCTCTAAAAGTTAAAATTTGAGATAATTTTTTTCTCTAAAATTTTGAGATAGTTCATCTCTTTAAAAAAATTTGTTACTTTCTCTCTCTAAAATTTTAACATACTTTCTCTCTCTAAAATTTTAACATACTTTCTTTTTCTAAAAGTTTGCCGACAAGTTTTGATTTTACCCCAACTCTAATGATATGAGTGAAGTCGGGAGATAACTGTAAATAACAAGGTGGGTCGCACCCCCCAAATTGTTATAGGGTACCATACATTAGGTCCTCCAATGGTAATGTAATACCCTCTCGCCTAAAAGCGAAAGGAGAAGGCCGTGTCTTGCATGGCCTCGGCCTACCAAAACCCCAAATCACGATGGGGATCGGGTATGTGAGTGAGGACACTATGAAATGGGACCTCCATTTGTTATTGTCCTCCCTCCCGAATGAGGGTAAAAGTTTCAATTTGCAGGATTTGTTTAACCTGATCGATGTGACTTCTATTTCGTGAGTAAATGATTATGTTTATGTTTCTATTTCTGTTTATGATTTTGATTCTATTTCTGTCTATTGGAATTAAGTTTCTGTATGATTGTCTGACTGTGACTGTGATATGCATCAATGTAACTGCCATTTCGAGAAACATTAGATGTTCTGACTTTTGAACAATACTCATTTTATGTTGTTAACGTACATATTCAAGGGTACGACTTTAAGGATAAATTTTGAAGGTGCATTGCAACCTTATACAAACCATACCCTCTTTTTAAATGTCAATTCCGACATATGTCAATTCCGAGGTCACACGCCAATATTCAAAAAGAAAAATTTCAATCTCATTGGCAGGTGTATTCTTGTGACCTATGGGTCTGTTTGCGAGCATGGATATCAAATATCTTGGATATTGTCAAAATCGACCATTTGGATTGTTTAATGACTAGGATACTTAAAATCAGGAAAATCAAAATCATGGAAATATGACCTACTTTTCCATGATTTCATTTCCACACCAAAACCAGTTTTTTTGCATTTCCAAGGCCCATAGATTTCACTCATTGGCTCCCTCGACCCGAAACATAGGGAGTATTTGGTAGGTATGAAAATTTTAGAGAGAAAAAGTATCTAAATTTTCTAAAGAGTGCGATTATCTCCAAATTTTTAGAGAAAAAAACTATCTCAAATTTTAAATTTAAATTTACCTACCCAAATAAAACATAAAAATACTATTAGGCAATTATCTCACGGGGTTATTTTATTATATAATTAATAATTAATTAATTAATTAATGGAGTTAAATATTATTTTAGAGAATATTTTAAGAGAGAAAAATAACACTAACTCATATCACTTTAGAATTTAATTCTACATTGACAACCAAATCTTTTATTTTATTTATTTTAATTTATTTGTATTATAAATTATGTAATATACTATTTTTTCTTACAGTTGTCAATAATACATTTTGAATTACATGATCTTATAAGATATTTTGGATTTATTATTATTTGTATAATAAAATAACCAACAATTTCAATTTTAGCATATAATATTGTAGTTTGTTAGGTTGTAATAATTTTGGATTATAGTTAGTCAGGTTGCAATAATTTGGGGTCTTTTATTTTATTTTTAACTGATTAGAGCTCTCTACCAATTCGATATTTTGGTGGCCATTTTTCTATCGATTTAAACCATTCTTTATTGTCGTACATGTATGATTTATACTTCATCCATTATAATTCTATAATTTTTCTTCTGTTTGATGTAAATTTAATGGTTAACATAAGTTCATACAGAGAAATAACATCTCAAGATTCGCATATTATGAATAAAATGAAAGTTAATATGGTAGTATTGTCACGACCCCACCCCCTAACCCCTACCGTACCTTACTGGAGAGTGACAGAGTGCAGGATCACGACCGTTCATACAGAGAAATAACATCTCAAGATTTGCATATTATGAATAAAATGAAAGTTAATATGGTAGTATTGTCACGACCCCACCCCCTAACCCCTACCGTACCTTACCGGAGAGTGACAGAGTGCAGGATCACGACCGGAGGTCGTGAACGTCACTCAGGTGGGTGTGGCTTAACGCATAAAAACACAGAACCATGAGCAACCCACAAAAGTAAAACTAAAATCTACACATAAGGACATATATCATTCTAAAATAACATCCATTCCACTAGATATCCAAAAGTTCTTACAATTTTCTTCAAGGCACTAATGGTCCAAAAATACAAAGTACAAAGTAACCATCATATCAGTAAGACCACCAAAACATACTATAGAAAGCTTCGAAAGACGACTCTTCAGACTTCAAACTTCAACCACCCGAGCACAACACAGCTACTCGCCTCCAATTCAGAGACTAACACTTTCTCTCTACAATCATGCAAATAAGATGGAATGAGCTAACAGTCCAATAAGTAGATATACACAATTGATCCCAACTATTTTAACAGTCGTAACAGTAAGCAGTGTACACTTAATCACTGAATATCAAGGGGAAGCTCTCTACAATGCCTTTCAGTATTCTAACAATATAATAAGAAAATCAGTTCAATACATAGAGTATAAGTCATATATCACTTTACTTGAGGCAGAACAATAAGGTTAACAGATCACAATTATAGAAACTAGAGAGACCTACTCCTGAAGTAGAAGTTCCATTGCTCAGGCTA